ATTGTTATGTATAAAATCTTCATCAATATTGTTTGTAGGTGCCGAGGTAAAAACTGTATTAAGCTCGTCTGAAGAGATTTCTAAATTGTTACAGCTCCCCGAATTATTGTTTACGTTCAGCCATTTGACGAATTTCCAAAACTCCTTCGGGTTATGTTTAAACTTATAGTAAAAAAATGCTTTTTTCTCTCGTCTAATTGAGTTATTCACAAAATTGCGCATGTCACGATATTCATTTAATGCTAAATCTGTTCTATTATGTTTGTACCTTAGTTTGGCTCTATCCCGTAATCTCATCATTAGTCTAATGTTATCGGTCAACCAGGGCGCTGGAGGTTTTTTAATTCTGACAGTTCTAATAGGGGCGTGCATATCAAATAGATTGGTTACCTTGACATTAAAACAATTTATAATTTGATCTATGTGAGTCAAGACAAACAAATGATCCCAATTAACTGCCAGTAGATCTTCATGAAATAGGTCGAAGTTGAACCGCGAAAAATCTCTATAAGTTCTGAACATAGTTGGATGTTTTTCTCTGTAAAATTTTAACTTACAGGAGACAAAATGATGGTCTGAAATGTCGTGAAAGTTCTAGGATGGCTATGAATGCTGATTTTAAGAAGAATTTCCGCAGTAGAAGCCTTTTCATGAAGAATAATATAGAAGCTTTTAAGGTCTCTTATCTTATGACGCATAGTTATCGGGGCCATGTTTAACATAGAGAGTAGTAGGGTGTCGTTATAATTAACCAAAATGTTTAGTTTATATGCTATTTGTTTCAAAAAGTTGTTCAACTAGTTGAAGAGAGTCCTTGTGTACACCATAAAAAGGAGACCAGACGCAAGAGGCATCGGTACTCTCGATGAGGGCGGACCAGGGCGCAATATAAAGTTTTTATAGCAGTAATATTCGTGAAATCTTGGGATGTCTTTCTGATAAAATCCAGCATTCGGAGAGCTTTATTTACTGTATTATTTAAGTGATTGGAAAAATGGAGATTTGTGTCCAGTAGTGAAACACCAAGGTCTTGACCAATTTTATAATTAAATTTAATAGGGGTTTTAACACGCGAAAAAGTAACGGCTTTACATTTAGAAGGATTGACATCCATGAAATTTCTATTGCACCAGAGTTGTGGGTTGTTAAGTTCATACTGTAGTTTTTCACAGTCTTCAGGAGTCAGGAGATTTAATTATGCAGCTCATTATGCGGTCATTGGCAAACAACAAGAAAAGACATATGTTAAAGCATTCGTGAATATCATTGATAAAGACATTGGAAAAGAGTGGCCCAAGATGGGACCCCTGTGGCACACCGGAGGTAACATGGATAATTTTGGAAAGGAAATTACCAATTTCAACAATCTGTTTCCGGCCGGACAAATAACTGTGAAACTATTGGATCAAGGGTTTATCGATTCTATAGTAAACCAAAGCTTACCTATGCAATAACATGGTATGAGAGACTCTGTCGAATGCCTTGGAGAAGTCAAGGTAAATCGTATCCACTTGAAATCCCTTCTCCAAGGCATCCAACAGATGGCCAGTTTGTGTTATAAGATTTAATTCTGTAGATTTGCCCGGTCTGAAGTCAAACTTTTTTCTGATTAAATGAGACTCTATTAGGGGGGTCAAAAAGTCATATACTAGGCTTTCAAATACCTTAGGGATTGTGCTGATGATATTAATGGGTCGATAATTGGTGATTACTCAAAAACATGAGAAAAACAAAAACTAAGGATATTATCAATACAATAACACCCCAGCAATGGGAAGAGTACTTTGAAGAATTACTGACAGAACAGCGGGCAGTGTTTAAAGAAGAGAGGGAACAGACACGAAACATAAAAACTGCAGGATCACCAATACGAGTTATGCAAGAAGAAGTTAAAAAACACTGCGGCTTCTTGAAAAATGGTAGGGCACCAGGCCCAGGAGAAATATATGGAGAACTGATAAAGTGTTGGACCAATAAACTCTACAAACATTTAACAAAACTATTTCAAACATGCATAGATAAACAAGAAGTACCGGAAGAGTGGAAAGTAAGCTATTTAACAACGATATATAAGAAAGGAGACAGAAACAAATGCGAGAACCACCGAGGAATTGCAGTAACAAATACGCTGAGCAGAGTGTATGGAAAACTCATAAAAGCCAGAATAGAGAACGAGTACAAAGATAGTGAGGCAGAAGAACAGGCCGGTTTTAGAGCAAGAAGATCAACTGTAGACCATTTATTCAGTTTGACCCAGGTAATGGAAAAGAAACTAGCCTATAACCAAGAACTCCATTTACTTTTTGTCGATCTAAAGAAAGCATACGACAATGTTCCGCTGAAAAAGCTTTGGGAAGCACTGGAAAAGACCAATATCAACTTAGAACTAATAAAGGCAGTAAAAACGCTCTCTAGTGATGCAAAGACCAAGATTAAACAGGGAAACTCAATCAGTAAAGGCTTTATAGCAACTAAAGGACTTAAACAGGGATGCTGCATATCACCAACACTTTTTAAAATATACTTAGAACAAGCGCTCAAAGGGTGGAAAAACAAATGCAGACACATGGGAATACCGCTCAATGAATACAATCTTTATACTTTAAGCTTTGCAGATGATCAAGTATTAATTGCACAGGACTATGATGACCTAGAGTACATGACACGAAAATTGATACAGGAATACGAGAAATGGAGTTTGGAAGTAAATTTAACGAAAACAATATATGACTATAGGAGTTGAACAACGAAATCTGAAATTGAATAACGGACAAGAAATAAAACAATGTTCTGAATACAAATATTTGGGCATGAAAATCTCACACGAGGGAACCCTAGACGAAGCAATTAAAGATAGGAATATACAAGGACGCAAGGCAATATCCCTACTAAATGGTGTATTGTGGGATCAAAATATCAACAAAACTAACAAAACGAGAATATACAACACCATAGTCAAAAGCATAGTCACGTATAGTTCAGAAGTCTGGCCACTAAAGATCAGAACCGCAAAAATGCTGGAAGCAACTGAAATGGACTTTTGGAGGAGATCGGCAGGCAGGTCAAAAATGGAGAGGATAACAAATCTGAGAATTAGGGAGATTATGGACGTAAAACACACAATAATAGATGATATAAAGGACAAACAGCTGATTTGGTTCGGACTTATACAAAGAATGGCAGATACAAGAATACCCAAGCAAATAATCGAGTGGAAGCCAGGGGGAAGAAGAAGACGCGGCAGACCAAGAAGAAGCTGGAGAAGTGATGTAGACAGGAAATGAAGGACAGAGGCCTAGAAGAGGATGCCTGGATTGACAGAGATGGTTGGAGATCGGGCATCGGAAGACGTAGAACGTTATAAACCGATAATTATATAGGTATATAATTGGTTACCACAGATTAATGTCCGGATTTAAAGATGGGATTGAGGAGACTTTTCCTCTAAAGCTCCGGAAAAACACTTCTACGTATGACATGTTGGAAATGTGGTAAAGGTGCCTTGAGAGATTTAAACTGCAATTTTCTAGAAACACGGGTGGTACCCCGTCTAGAATCAGGGCCCTTGATAACATCAAGCGCGAATATATGAGAGTTTATGTCAGAAATTATAGTAGGTATATGATGATTCGGTATATGGACTATGGATGAAGGCAGATAATGTGTAGGGGGATATCATGGTGGTTATTCGAGTAGACAGAAGAAAAATAATTTGCAAACATGTCAGCAATTTTCCCATTCAAACAACTAAACTTATCACGACATTTAAATTCGCTGCATTGCGCTTCCTTTTATTTTTTACAAAAGACCAGAATTTTTCAATGTTGGAGTTAATAACCATTTTGGTCCCGTGAACATAATTTTGATAGATTTCATGTGTCAAGCTCTTGCATAGCTGTCTCAACCTATAGTCTAGGAGGCAGTGACGATTTTCGGTACTAATTTTCCTAGTCAGAAAACATGGATAGAATTGTAGGGCTAGTAATTTTAAGCAAAATACATATATTTTTAGGGGGGTTATCCGATGGGTTGAGGCGCAAAATGCGTTAAAGCTTACCAATGCACGGCCCTTTTTTTCTCAGTGATAAAAATGGATCTACTAATGAGAAGTATACTGAAGTTACGTAAAAAAATAGTCCGGCTAATCTGTGAATATGGATAATATGTCTGGCAAGTGAAAAATTGAAGATCCAAAAATTTTCAGCCAGACTCACTTTCAGTATCTGAGATAATCCAAATTGCTATTTTTATATACTTTATGTTCTATTGAAGTAAATGTGGAATATTTATGTCTGGGAAAATAAGCGTACTTGTATTTTTCATTGATCTTGTGAACCCATCCGAAAATTTTAGCCAGACTCAAAAATTCTTGCTTTGTATCACCAGGAGAACAAACTATTTAATAGACACCAACTGGGAAAATAAGTGCTAAAAAATCTCACTGCCTCCTGGACTACTAGAAAATTCGCGATAATCCACATCAGAACGAGATAACTTGTATTTGCTATAAGTTTCTTTCTTCAGAATTACATAGGTATTTGATTGCAAAGTGAAAAAGTCCCAATCAAATTGATTCATCCAGAAAGAAAAACGACAATCGCAACCATGAAGATTATGAAGCACGACATGTAAATAGGAGCAATATGTAGTTAACCAAATTTCATTGTAAAGGTTAATTATAATATGAGGTAGGTACTTGACTGAACTTAAAAAAATATGAAAGAAAAACAGAGAAAGTTGAGAAATAATAGACAGGTAATATAAATGGAAGGAAAAAGAGAATTATTAGATTGAACAATTTACAAATTTCTATTTTTTTTTTCTTTTTAGGGAGAATTAGAGTGTCCATAGGCGACTTGGCCACTATATGCTCATTATTGATATTCTGACATCTGAAATTTGGTATAATCAGCTCGGTTACTCTCTGACTGAACAATCCCTTCATCAAATGTCCTGCTTTGATTGTTATAACATTAAATTACTACAACACCATACTTTACCTTCTCAATTACAACAGCATTTTCCAAAGAAACTTTATCATTAGATAACCCTTCAGATTGCCATTGCAGCTGATCTCGTTCTGTAGTAAAAAATGACATAAAATCAAAACTTTCCCTTCCCAATGCTGTACACCATTTGGAAAGGTTGTTCCTACAATTACGATGATAGTCATAATAAATGTGCAATCATTATTGATATGTTTTTACCGTCTTTTATTCTCTTCTTCTTCCGACAAAAACGTAATAAATGTTGCAGCCAATAGAGAATCGCTTGGTAGAACTTGAATTTCTTTGGACAACTCTTCCAACTGAAAAAAAATCATATTATTTATTTTCCTCATTTCAACTTTTTACTTGTTGCAGACCTGTTCTTGCCACCTCAGATACTCGTCCTTCAATTTATGAACCAAATTTTCCGCAGAGCTCAGAGTTTGATTCACTCCGTTCAAGCCAATTTCAATTTCGGCAGCTTCTTTTGTGTATTGAGACAATTGTTCTTTCAGCTTCAGCACAGTTGCGTCTACGTCTGACAGATTGGCGTTTAGCTCCGATAACTGCGATTCTGCGTTATTTAAATTTCTGAAAAAATAGTTTTTCTATGTAGGAATACTAGTAGAAATAACAACTAATAAGAACAATTCAGCAATCGATGAAAGCGTATAATAAGGACCAGAAATAGGAATTCATAATTTTTTAAATTTTCCAGAATTTGGAGAAGAAGGCAAAGAAGAAGTGATTATTATAGGACAAAAATATGAAGGAAATATAACGAATAAAAATCATTATGAATAGGTATAAATATTATGTGAATTGAAATTATTACTGTTTTAATTTGTTCTGTTCCCTTTCCAAAGGTCGAATTTTATCCAAAACCCTAGAATATTTGACGTTTGCATCGACCCAAGCAGCCAAAGGAGCCGCAGCCACTGAAGCTCTTTTAGCCGATTTCTGATCAAAAGAATCCTTTTTCGTTGCCATAAGCCTTTCCACTGCTTGTCTGTTTTCCGTTTGGATTCTGGTGGCATCGAACGACCTAATTTCCTCTTTTACTCCACGTTTAGCCAGAAATATCTTCATGCTGTTCCAAGAGGTGTCTTGAGTGCCCATTAGCTTCAATACACCTTCGAGTATGTCTCTGATAATTTCGGGCGGAGCCCTTAAAGATCGGATTTCAGACAGAGATTCTGTTTTGATGTTTCCTACAGCCGATCGGGCTTCTTGAATTAAGGGTTCGACTTCGGAGAGTTCTTCTTCTATTTCTGCTTTTCTATTAAAAATGTTGGATTTTGATTGAAAATGTAAAACTAATATACACTATTTGTACCTTTTTACTAATTGTACATTTTCATTTTCCGTCTTCTGTTTCAACACTTCCATTTCCTCTTTGTGAGCATTAGCCCCTTTTATAGTGTTGCTGATCATATCCAAAGCAGCATTCGCTTTTTCTTGTTTTTCAGCTAATTTCTCCTGTTGTTCTGCTGCTTTTTGTTTCAGTTCGCTTACCAGATCTTTGGCTGTGGTTAATTTTGACACTCCGCCCTAAAGAATTTTTCACATTTTAATAAAAATTTTGTTGTGCCTATGTAAGATACTTACTTCTAGTTTCTCAATTTTTGCATTAATGGTCATTTCTTTGTCCTTGTAAATGTTCCAGTATAATTTGATCAATGAAATGTACCTCGATGGTGTAGCGTTTGTTAAGGACTTGTAAATTTTGTCCAAATAATCCAGACCGGATTCTGTGCCTTTTACTGAGCCTAATCTGGAAAAAAAATTATGTGTGACCCGTTCCAGCACTGTTTCTTGCTCAGAACACCATAAGCAAATGCACTTTGGGATAAAATATGCTTATCTGATCTTTGAATGACAAATTTTAGACCTTAGAGTTTCCAAAGACGAGAAACAAAATGAGCTCAAGAAACAAGCTCTTTTTTTTGACAACTCGTGGGGCTAAAATTTGTACATAGTCCTGAATAACTTTACATTGAGACTAACTTTTCAATGAGTTTCTCTGGGAACATTTTCATAGTATCATCACTCCATTTACCCAGCCATATTAACCCACTATTTTGTGAAAATGCGGGACATTTCAGGATTATATCACGCAAATTTATGTTGTCCTGATCCAAGCAAACGAATACGTGCAAGTATTTCTTTATATCTAAAATAAACAAATGTTTTAACCAAAAGTATATATGTGAACTACATCTGTATTAACTATTAGCAAAAAACTGAATCAATTCTCCTTCGAAATTCTCACTGTCCAACTTGTCTTTCAACCCTTTCACCAAAGAATCCATCTCTATATCGGAATAAAGCTCAGGTACTTCTCCCGAACTCATCAACAAATTAATCAAAGTCATATTTTGTTCATTTACAAAAATATGGTCTTCCAATATTAAAAATACGTCCTCACATTCAATGCCAGCATATTGAATAGCCTACAAACAATAATATAGAGGCACAGAAGCAATATTTACACGCAAAATTACTAGCTTGAGGTCGTTATGGAATAGAGGAAAACTTCCGCTAGGTGGATGAATAATGCGCTTTGATAACAATGCTGACGCAATTTTTAACGAGGTTTTACGTCCGATGCCCGGTTTTCCAACCAAGAGTAAATGGTATTGCGGAATTACAGCCGAACGCATTATGGCCGATGTTAGAAGTAAAATTTCATCGTTTATTATTGTTTCGAGTTCTTGGTTTTCTTTGCCTAAAAAATTGTCTAGGTACTAATCATGTCAAAATAATTATTAATTTCTCATACCAAATTGGTTAATTCCTCGCTGTACTTCAAATTGCCAATTTTCCTTTGAATATTTATCAAAAATAACTCTTTTATGCACAGTATCGATTCTAGGTGCATAATAAGTAGTGTTTGATATTTGTTGAGCGATGCCTATGGTTTCCCAATTTATTCTAAATACTTCATCTAGCATTGCTATTAGCGCCATTTTTTCTTCGAATTGCGACAGTCGGTCAACGAAAATGTTTAGTGCTTCATAACACAATACCTAAAGTGTTTGTGTTTAGAAATATTAGAAATTGTATAAAAGTCTTATAGGTACCTCTAATAAATAAGCTTCAAAGTTTGATATATCAGTGTTGGAATAGTACTTTAAGTTGGTACACCATTGTACTAAGTCGTGAGGACTTGTTGGACGGAAGTTTTGATAGGCTTCTTGTACCTGAAAAGAATAGGCATAATAACTTATTGAACTATAGAAGGATGTAGAACAATAATTATTAACAAAATTAATTAAAATATTGCAGCATGAAATCTGCTTTGGTTGGTACGGAGCTTGGAACACCTTTCAATAGCTAATCCAGATTTATCGATAAACTCAATGCCGCAGTAGCTCTCCTTTCAACATGCTGTTCAATTTTACGAAAAATTCGTGATATCGTGTCTGCAATTTTCTAGAGACCACAATAACGTCAGATACTTTTTCAATTGATTTCCTTTGCATTCGAAAATTGAATAATTTCTTATTAATTATTTTTTTTTTTTACCGGATACTTATGTCATTTTTTCCATCAGTTTGGATTAGTCCAAGTCCTATATGTATATATCAGGAGATTTACATAGAGTGTCACCTTTACTTCAGTCTCAACCCATTTTCCATCTTCAGTAATTAAAAAGAGCTGATACTTCCACAACACGTTGTTTATCAATTAGTTCGGTATCGTCTCCTAATTGGTACTTGTATTGTATCCATGCATGCTGCAGATTTCAGCATCAGCATTTTTAGAAGCTTCTCTGGTATATTTTGTATAGCATCTTGTTATATATAAGTTTACTAGATATTTCTGTCTATTTTATATATTCTTTGCCTGTAGACTTTCCTAATACTTCCTCTTCAGTTAAGAAGTTTGTTATGCTTATCAACGATTTCCTACTCAGGCGATGATGGTATAGTTTCGACTTCATCTTGTTTCTATTTTTGGTATGCGTGGGCTGAATTGCTTTTTGGGAATCAAATTTGAGAATTCAGGTTTCGGGTTTATTGGGGGCGTCACTTGTTCTGTTCAAGTTGGTTTAAGTGTTTTCGATTTTTCAGTAATTTCTTCTTCACTTCATAGGAAATTCATTACTGCATTAATTTTTCTTCTTGATGATGATGATTTTTCAACCAAACTTTAATTTTTATATTTTTCTTTGTCTTTATTTAGTTTTGATTCTTTCTATCCACCTCGATCCTTTCTATCCACCTCGATCGGTTTTACATCACATCACAATGTTTGTTAGCCACACTTTCTTCTCCGCTTAGAGACCAAGGAAGATCAGTCGATCTAGTATACTATTTAGACTTTATCTTTGGGTTGCCTGGCATTTTCTCCTTTGGAAACGTCGGAAACCTTTTCCACATCCTTTAACCTTAGCTTTAGTTTCTTTTTTCGATCTTCTTGCAGTGCCTTAACTTTTGCACTCTCAGTCCCAGCTCGTTTTTTATTCTGACTTGCTATTTCCATCGTCTTCCTTACTTAGTGCCTCTTTCTTTACATATTAAAAGAACAGGTGGTTCAGCTAAATCAGATAACATCACAACAAATAACACGAAGGGTGACAGCTCCTACTGAAAATAAAATCTCTGTTGAACCAATTTTGCTCGAACTAGCTGAATGAAAAAGGCGTGCCCCAAATGTCGTTCCCTTTGGAATAAAAGAAAATAATTCTTCACAAAATGTAATGTAATCTGGACAAGGCAGTGAACATGTTAAAAAAGTGAAGGATAACATTCAAAAAGATGGCATCAAAGTATACCGTCTTGGAGCACCTGTCAAGCCTATGAGAATCATGACTTTATCTCCTTCAATAGCCAGAGAAATTTTAAGAAATTAGGCAAAACTTAATGAAGAAAATATCTATTTCAAAGCAAAACAAACACCGCTTCAAAGAACATGAACATATTCAGAGAGCTGGAAGACCGAAAGCAGAAAGGAGAGATGAATATAACAGACAGATACATTAACAATGTTCCGAAAGTTGTTTTATCTCAGAATGAGGAAAGAACAGTATACAGAAAACGTGTCCCTTGTTGAAGTCTCCTTCTGGGATAGCAATCTGTGTTCCATGGTAAATAAGCTTGATGAACTAAAAGCTAGCATCTAAAACAGCAATGCTCATGTAATATTGATCAGAGCAGGCGCTACAAGTAGTTGAGTATGCAAAATTTGAGGACCGGCAGAAATGCTCAAATTCGTATTGGGTGGCGATGTCCACCTTGCCCATATAGACAAACCGCCACTGAGTGAAAGAGCCCATTGGCATATTTTTTTTCTGGAGAATTCAAAAATGGTACCAAAAAACCATTTGAACTAAAACCCAAAGAGCTACGCCATGGATGAACTAGTTTTCAAATGGAAGGAGAGTTAGGGACCACTCCAGGCAAGATGTACTTTCCCATTCTTTAGGATCACAGGAATACGATTTTGAGGATTTTTGCCGGTCCCCACATTTTGCGTCTAACTCCCGGTCTAGATGCTAACCGATCAAATGCCAGATGACCTTATAGTATACCAGATTATTTCATGTTCCGTAAATATCGAGGAACCGATAGTGGGGATGTTTGCATATCCATCAAATGTTGCATAGGAAGCTAAAATCTGCACGCAGTCATGAGTCAACAATTTGAAACAGCAAGGTTCAGTTGAATCGGCACTTTTGGGTTCTTAGTGGTCTGTATACAGGTCTGGCAAGTCAGCATCTTACAGGCCAATTTTAATGCAATAGAATGAAATAAATGTATAGGACAAGTCTAAGGTTAAATAGAGAGGGAAAACGATTTCCCCTGTTCCACCTCCAACATGCAGCGCTGAGAACGCTGGAGGTGGAACAGGGGAAATCGTTTCCGTGCTTTATTCAACCTTAGACTTTCTCTAGACGTTTCATTCTATTATATTTGAATTGGCATGTAAAATGTTCACTTGCCAGACCGGTATATAGACAAAAGCGAAAAACAATTGAAGAGCTTAACTTGAAAGACACTACGACTTTACCTTGTTCAACGCTGATGTTCATGTCCTCATTTTTATTGAGAGTATTTAAGATATTTTGCTCAAAAGTGAAGATTTTAGCGTTCAATGTTGCAAATACGCTTTGGAATTTTTGGCGTGATTGTTTGCCCTTAGTAGCTCCATCCTTAGCTTCCCTCTCATTCTAGAGTCAATGTAGAGCAAATTGGGCTGGTCCAAACCTTTTAGTATGTCATTGCTAATTACCTTGAAATCACCTGGGACCAACTAGAAATTCATCCACACAGTAACTAGCTATGACTTCTTGGAGACTTACAAAAACCACAGAGGGCACCAACATTTTGCTTTTCCAACAAGAATCAGAAATGCCCAGCAATCACTACTAGACTTACCTTATAACTAATGAGAAGACACTAATTTTTGGTACCTATTCAATAATATGCTCCTCTAGGAAAAAGTGTACATGTAGTATTTACAGCCAAAACACAACTTCAAGTTACAACCCAGCAAACTCACAAAGGTTTACAAGAGACACTTCTGGAAAGCTGACTATGATGCTGTCAAGAACTTACTCCAGCAAAAGTTACATAAGGTAGCCAATCAAACAAATATGACACTTTCTACGAGGCAATAAACAGATCAAATAACATAAACATACTAACAAGAACTCAAAAAGTTAAATCGCAAAAACCATGACAGAGATCCGGCAGAAAAGGAACATGTGGCAAAAAATGTTCACAAAATAAAAAAAATCCGTTTAACCATCATCAAATTATTAAGCATCGTTTCATGAGTAAATCTACAAATTTTACGAAAATCAGAAAATTCTTTCTATGAGAAAAACGGAGACAAAATATTGATATTCGTTTGAACGCACGAAACGCTGTCTGACGTCACAATGCGTAATGAGTTAGCACGCGCAAGTACAGTGGCGTTACTAGCGATCAATTCTAAAATTCTGAAAAATGCTAATTTTCATGTTATTATTGTCCCAAAAAATTCTAAAAATTCTAAAAAATTCTAAAAAATCCCAACAAATTGGGCAGGCTCTTGAGCATGCGCAATAGATAAAAATTCTAAATAATTTCTAAAAAATTCTAGTGCAATTCTAAAAAATACTGAATAATTCTAGAAATTGCTAAAAAATACTAAAAAATGCAAAAAAAATACTAATAATTCTGAAAAATTCTAAAAATTCTATCAGTTTGTACAGGGTGATCTATTATAAATGTCGAATGTCGACCCTGCTAACTTTATCATTTGACGTTTTTGACAGAAGTATCAACTGTCAAATACAAAAGTTTTAAGAAATTATCAATTTTTTTTAACTAAGTTAGTTTTAGGCATACAGGATGCGTCAAAAAAGTGCAGCAGTATGAAGTTATATTTTTTAAAATGGAACACCCTGTATATTGTGCGCTTATTTGTTAGTCCCCTTACCAGTTCCAGCACCATACCAGATAATATGATTTCAACGATATACGGTTTGATATGTTTATCTCTCTGTTTATCTTCAATAGTTATAGGGAAAAACCACTGATCTCAAAAATAAATGGATAAACAAAGAACGCTTCTAATGCTGCTAATTTACGAGGTCGAAATCTAAACAAAAACAACTGACTGGGACAGCTGTGAGCGTGCGCAGTAGATACATGTATTGTGCGTGCACAAAATCTGGCCAATGAAAATGAAGGAATTTCAAAACTTAGAACAGTTGTTCGAAATATAAGACACTGCGCAGGCGTTAGGCTCTTCCGTTGCACAACTGTTCGTAGAATATTGACCCCAAATTTTCGCACAAATTTTGCCAATCAAGCCGTATGAATTGTTTATCCATTTATTTTTTAGATCAGTGGGAAAAACGCGAAAATCCCTTGCTAGTTCTCTTATGTTATTTTTTCAAAAATAATAATAATAACTGGATTTATTATAATATAATATTTCACCTTGTATATTAATGAATAAAATTTGAACAATAAACTGTTCATAAATAAAATTCTCTAAAGCTTAAATGGTATAATTTTTCTTTTTCCATTATGAAACCTTGAAAGGAGTTTTCATGTTTTTCCTTATAAATATCGAAGATAGACATCAAATCGTATATCGTTGAAATCATGTTAAAAGGGACTAACAAATAAGCGCAAAATATGCAGGTGTCCCATTTAAAAAAAAATTAACTTCACACTGCTACACTTTTTTGACACACCCTGTATGTCTAAAACTGACTTAGTTAAAAACTTTCGATAATTTATTGATATTTTGTATTTGACACTTTTGTCAAAAATGTCAAATGAAAAAGTTAGAAGGGGGTGACATTTATAATAGATCACCCTGTACAGCAAAATTCTAAGAAGGTTTTCCGCTCGGGGGAACTCACCTACCTAATTTTTTACACCAAAAATAATTCTAAAATTCTGAAAAATGCTAATTCTCGAAAAATTCAAAAAAATGTCCAAAAATCCCAACAGATTGCGCAGTGCGCAGGCTCTTGAGCATGCGCAATAGCTGAAAATTCTAAATTATTTCTAAAAAATTCTAATTTAATTCTAAACAATACTAAAAAATTCTAAATAATTCTAGAAAATGCTAGAAAATACTACAAAATGCTAAAAAATACTGATAATTCTAAAAAATTCTATCAGTTTGTACACCAAAATTCTAAGGTGGTTTCCCCCTCGATTTTGATATTGCTGCTATCTCCTTCATGTCGATCTCTGTGTTATAGGGTTTATCGAAATTAGGGTAGAAAAGGTCCTATGGCTAAAATGAAGGAAGCTTTTCAAGAGGCCGATTCACATAATCTGTCAACTGTGGACGTTATCTACTATTTTTTTGTTTATTTCGTTATCTACTATGGTATGTATGTTTGGTCAAGTGTCGACTTGAATCAGCTCCAGTCCATTGGTGTAGAAGTAAAACAGACGTTATTAGATGTAGGTATAGTTGCATTTGAACAATGATATATAGTTATTTACCTGTAACAAGGGCGGAAAGTTATACTTTTCCGCCCGCAACGGAATTTGCACGAACGACGAGCCAGCGGAATTCGTGCAAGCCGCAAGTGCGGAAAACATACTTTATGCTCGTGCCAGGCCCATTTTTTCTATGAGCGTGTGAAAAACGCGTCTTCACGCAACGATTTGCGTGCGGAAAGTAGCACATTTTCGCACCTCGTAGAAAAACACGCACGTAGATACCACTCTTTTCGACTCGGTTCAACTTTGTTTGAGTCTCCCATCATTACACAAACACAGATAATTGGAATCAATGAAGCTTCTTGGGATAAAGCAACAGTCAGCCACACAATAAATCCAATGTAAACTTGTAAACAAATCTCGCCAACGCACCAGCTGATTTTCCGCTTCGCACAGTGACGTCACAAGCGGTACTCTCGCCGCAGGGGGTCGTTTTGCTAGCCTCGCTAATTTCGTTTTTTTGTTTTCGATTTATCAGAAAAAATAAAGGGTTTTTAGATGTTTTAACGCTTAATACGTGTTTTGTGGACCTAAAACCACCACTTTTGATTACAATTGAAAAATAGTGAGCATCCCTATTATATGCATACATAAGTTGCATCCTCAACTCCAAGCATAAAAACTTCAACATAATAAACGAAGCAATCCAACAACCATTTGAAACAGACCACCAAATTGCAGAGACATTTGGAAGCGTGTATATATTATTGGATCAGAACACAATTAAACCAATATTATCTTAGAAACCGACACCAGGACTGAAATAACCAACATCATATTCATAGCAGAAAAAGTAAAAACTGCAATCAAATCACTAAAATCCGACTAGCCCAGGGCTTGATGGAATCACACCAGTTTTTCTCACGAATTGTGTACAAATACTGAAAGAGGGATTGTCTTATATTCTCAACGTTATAATGAGCAAACGAGAGATCCCTCTAGCTTGGAAGAAAGCCGCGGCCCAATATATAAGGAAGGAAACAAACAACATGCAGAAAATTACCGGCTAACCAGACTAAATGAGTGGAATCTACTCTGGCTGATGACAACCATGAAACAATTGATTTCATTTGCCTTCATTTTGAAAAAGAATTCGGCAAAATAACAGAGTTTTTGCTCTATAAATTGGAACATTTTGGAGTTAGGGGTAAACTTTTGAGGTTGTTAGAAGGCTTCCTCACTGAACGTACTTTCTAAGTACATGTGGATTCTTCCCTTTCAAAGAAACACAAAGTACACAGCGGTGTTCCTCAGGGATCAATCCATTTGCTGATGATGGAAACCTATACACAAATCCACTGCTACATCAAGCTGAATTACAAATAGATCTCAACATCATTAGAGCATAAACATATGAGTGGAAGATGCTTCTAAATGATCATAAATGCACTGTCCTACATATTGGTCGAAACAGGCCCAAATAACGTCAGTAGCAAAACAACAAGACCTAGGAGTCACCTCCTCACATCTGACCCTAAACCGGATACACATATCACACAAATTTCTAAAAAAGGTAAATTCAATGATCTTATCCAGACAGGCTGTTAACACATAAAAGCTTCAATAGCTCATTTTTACCCGAGAGGTTATGTAATAGAAAATAATTACGAAACACCGGGTTGTTCTTAATAAAAGTGGACTGTATTAACTTTTCAAAACATTACGATGACAATCGGCAATAAACAAAGTTACATTTTTTATTTATTGTCTGTATTTTGTGCAATAGCAATTTCTTGCTAATTAATTAAAATTTGGACGCGACTTCGCGACGCCGCTTCTTCAATACGGCGGGTAGCACAGTACCTATTTATGCGATAGCCAACTCACGACTACCCTAGGAATTTATACAGAAATGGCGCTTCCCTTAAAATATCTAGGTGTGGACGAGTCCATTATTGGAATTTGGGGGGAAGAAGCTTATTAAAAACTTGTTCCTTCTTGTGGGTTTTTTTTATGTTTTGGGAGAATTGGTATTGCACCAATACTTGTAACCAATACAATAAGGATAGATTGCACCATAATATAAATAATAATATCAAAATCAGGAATAATTATTAGAAAATCCAACACAGGCTTTAAAGACCTATCAAAGGAAATGATCTCGAAACTTCACAAGTCGTATGTAAGACCAAAACTTAATTAAGTCCAAATTGTTTGGAACTACTACGTGAAAGATATAGAGCGGATAGAGATAGTTCAAAGAAGAATAACCAGAATACCGCGTGAATTTAAAGATCTATTCTATGAAGAAAGGCTCGTAAGATTAGACCTCACAACTTCAAGGGACAGGAGAATGAAAGGTGATCTCAGTGAAACACATATAATACTCAACAGTCACTATGCCAGTAATCTGAGAGACATCTTCCACCTTAGTCGCAACACAAATCTACGAGGTCATGATCAAAAGCTTTCTAAAGAAAAATGCATAGGCTTCTATGCGGAAAAATTTTCTTATCAATAGAGTCGACTACAATTGGAACCGCCTGAGTGTTGACACCATTAACTCCATCTTCAGAAATCAATTCAAAAATTACCCTGACCAGAAAATGAGGAGTTTCCTTAAATTTTGCTACTTTTGCATATCTACTTTCTTTGCTCTTAACTATTAGTACGTCATGTTCCACGACCTTATTTTCCATCTTTTTTTTCATAAAGCGCTGATTCATCCACTTTATGTTTCTTATTATCAATTTTTAGGAATCAATTTTTCTTCATCAACATTTTCACCATTTCATAAATGGCACTAAAACTAGAAGCACTAGAAACAGTATGATTGAAGAACTACTGATTCTGCATGTTCAGCAATTCTCGTGAATCTTTTTACGGAGACTTTGGCTTTTTCATTGTTTGCTAGCTTTGCAACCTTAGAACTTTTAATAGAAGTCTTTTATCGAGCTGCCATGCGAGCTTTGATAAGTTTGGATGTCTTTCTGAGTCTTCTACTAATCAATGCTGTCTCCCTCAGTCTTCTTCTTACGGCAAGAGATAAAATATTTTCAAAAAGCTTCAATATAAACGTAATCTTCTTACAGAAGGACATTCTTAAAACAGATTTCGCGTAGAGTACCTAATGCACAGAAAATTCAATCCTCATTGTCTGTTTAGTAGTGGCAAGTCCTAATAATCACATTAAAATTAAAATACCTTATCATAAATTGTCATCATCGTCAAAACCAATTTGACGATTTTCGTTTTTGCCAAGTTGCTAGCAGGAAAACATGCCTTCATTATAGCTGACATGTAAGCTACAAGTATGACTGACAAATCTTCTTTATCGGGCAACCTGAAAATTAAGCAAATAAATAAATAATGAATAAAGCTACCAAAAAAAACTTACTCAATGCTAATCATGTGAAGTTTAGATAAAAATCTGCTGGACATTTTATCGTTGGGCATAAGACTGCCGATGATTGATACATTTTCGACTTGTATAAATTCGGTTTTGTTATTGAAGTAGCCCTTATATTCGATCAGCTGAAATTTACAAAGTTTATCAAAATATAAATCAATACACACAACATTATATTGCACAAAAAAATTTATTAACAGATAATAAAATTGTAAAATGCATTTTTATTCCTTGTCAAGTCCCTTTAAAGGTTCAAACATAAACGATGACGAAACATTTCTTGTTTGTTCAATAATTTCGCGAAATTTTCCTTTGAAACTCCATTTCGATTCTGTTACATCCATTTTAGTTTTGACATAATCTTTCAATTGCCCGTAATCTGCACTCATCTCTTTCATAATTTCTTTATTTTCCGTTAATTGTTCTTTTAATTGTCGATTCGTTTCTTCATAACTGTGGATTAGGGCTTTGGCTTTTTCGTAACGTTCCAATAAATCACTGACAAACGTTTCCATTTCCTCCAATTTTGCTTTGCGGTTTTGATTTTGCCTAAATAAATTTTCGCTTTCCAACAAGAGTTCCACGTAAAGTGTTTCGTACTCGTCGATAACATTTTTGCGAATTTGCGGACTCGCCCGCATTTCGAGGCTTTTATTTTTCGCTTCTAAATCTGCAATTTGTTCTTCCAAGTCTTCCACTTGGGTTTTGTAATTGTGCTCTAAAGTTTCCTTTTCCTGGACCACTTCCTTAATATCGCCAATTTCCGGTTTCTTTTGTAGTAGATCCGCAACGGTCTCTTCCATACGGAATATCTATTGTTAATTTTTTAATTATTATATTATGTTTTGGTTGAAATTTGCTTGATTACCTTCAATGAGTCCATTGGTGAAGAGTAATGAAATTTTGGAAGTTTTTTTGACAGGAGGGTTTTGAAGTTTGTCGTATTTTTCCAAAATTACCGGTATTTAGTTATACCTACTCTTGAGAGACAAATCTAATCAAACCAATTCTTACCTGACTGAGAAATTCAATAACCGTATTACTGCCCCAAACGTCTGGCGTTAGTAAATCCAAATTTCTGAAATAAAGTACCAAGTTGCCTTTTTTCGGTTTCAAAGTTGTTCCTTTGAAGGTGCTGACTGAGATACATTGCTGAAATTTTGTTGGGTGTTAAAATAAAATGAACTTTTTGAAATCCTTCTATAGTTACCTGTTGCAGTTTATGTATAACGTAATTTGTTGACAGGTTTGAGCTGCAATTAATTTCAATCAGCTCAACATCAGAGTGGTCGTTTAGCAAATGTTGCACCATTAATCTGAAATTAATTGAATAATGCATTCAGAATTTAACTTAAAAACATTCAGTTTCCTGATACTTGAAGTGAATTTCATTTGTGCTTTACTCATCTGTCTATACCTTATTTTATAAGGACAAACAAATTGTGAAGAACATTATTTGCTTTTCATTGGGTGCCAACGAGGGTTTCAAGTAGTATTATAAAATATGAAAGGATGAATGTTTATAAATCAGAATGTGCAGTGACTGATGTCTTTTTTTGTTAGCTCATAAGAGTAGAAAAGTTAGTATGTTATGATAAGGTGATCCTGTTTATATATGGTTATAAAAATAGAGAGTGATTTTCTCTCAGTTTTGGTCCACGACCGGTATTCTGGTTTTCGAAAACGCTCACCGCTTCTTAGTCGTTCGACACTTCCAATGTAAATTTACATTGAAGTGACTAAAAAGCAGTGAGCGTCTTTGAAAACGAGAATACCGGCCCAGTTACAAATTATATTCTGCTAATAAATATTTTTGAGTCAATATTAGTATACTTATTATGATATGTGTATAAGAGAACCTTTAAAGCACGCGCTACATATTTCAAAATTTGACGCGCAGCGGAGTGTTTTGTAAGTTGCAAGGGCTTTGAATGCCCTCTTATACTTGCATATCATACTGTGAAGAATTGTGATGCGCTCTTGCCAGGGTATCCAGAATACATGCCAAAATTCCAGAAAAAGTCTGCTTTATTCAGGCATGGGATATTGCGTTTATTCTTGATTTTACATGAATAGATTCACGGATATATAAAGGCCGGTATCAGTTAGTAGTTTTCAAGTTAAAGATTGACTGTGATATGATTTAGATATAATGATTATTGTTAAGAGTTATGAAGAGTTTAGTTGTTTGAGTCAATTAGTGGAGTAATTAGTGTCAAAGTGTGTAGTAACGTGGAATAAATTAATATTGTGTTAATTGGACTTTGATTCGCAATAAACGAACCCAAGATTTATATCACGCAAGCTAGAGCCGTGACATTGGTGTCAGAAGTGAGACATAATTTGAGGACTGCAAAGTGAAGTCCGATTGCAGAATAGTGCGCGGAGATTACTGTGAACACTATAATGAACACTGGGACAGTTATTTAGTGTAAGTAGTGACAATCACCAAAAGAGACTTCACCGATCGTGTAAATTACCCCGGAAGTGACTGTATACCCACCCGATTTTGACTGTGATAATGATTTTTTGAGTAGGTTCTAGAAAATTCTATTTGGAAAACCTGAGAATGTCTAAGTTCAGACAAAGTAGCGAAGCCCTTGTCCGAGCATTGGAATTGGAAGCAATATTTGGTGCCTCACGTCCCAGAATACGAGCGGTGTCCATTGAAGACCCAAATAAAAAACAGTTGTCAAAAGATTATGAGTAATTTCATTCATCAAAGTCATGAGTAATTTCATTAGGAAAATGGAGAGAATGGAGAAACTGTTACTAGAAGGTAGAAAAACGAGAAACGATTCCAGAAAAAACACCAACTTCGAGAAACCGAGTAGAATGTTACCGGTGCCATAGGCTTGGACATATGCAATGGGATTGTAGAGTAGGGATGTCCTCTCCATCTAGGGATCATTCCCAACGCTTTTCAAAGTGGCAATACACAAAGATGACAAAAAGAAAACTGCCTTCAGTACCGGAAGCGGGTTAATGCCTTTCGGTTTGTTTAATGCTCCAGCTACGTTTGATCGACTGATGCATCTTGTTTTGCGAGATCTTACATGGAGAACTTGCCTGGTATATTTGGATGATGTCATGATCATGGGAAATTCGTTTCATGAACATCTTAATTAGGTACCGGAAAGAAGTTTTTGACTGCTTTCGGGATGTCAACTTGAAATTCAATCCAAATAAGTGTTTTCTATATAGATGCTGTCAGGGATTGGCCAAAGCCACGCGACAAACATGAACTAAGGAGTTTTCTGCTATTATATGTTCTCATTATCGAAGATTTGTGGAAGGATTCGCCAATATAGCTGCTCCACTTCATCGATTAACGGAAGAAAAATTAACTTTCAATTGCACCCAAGAATGCGATTCCGCTTCCAGAAAATTGAAAGGAGCATTCTACAAGCCCAGTGTTGTCCTATCCCGATCAGAAAGGCATGTTGATTTTGGACACAGATGCAAGCAACACCAGTATTGGAGCTGTCCTTTCACAAATCCAAAATTCAGAAGAGCATGTCGTAGAGTACCACAGAAGAACCCTTTCAAAGCCGGAACGAAATTATTATGTCACCAGAAGAGAGTTGCTTGCCATAGTAAAAGCAGTCGACCATTTTCATAAGTATCTCTACGGCCCGGCCATAAGTTTCTAATTCGAACAGATCACGCGGCTCTAAAATGGCTTTTAGAAATGAAAACTCCCGATGAACAGCTTGCTAGATGGATTGAGAAATTGTAGCAATATGATTTCAAAATTAAACATCGACCTGGAAACCTCCATAAAAATGCTGATGCTCTGTTTAGACGCCCCTTTGAAAAAAACTGCAAGCATTGTTAAAGAATTGATATGCATGAGAAATACACTGGTCCGGCTGAGAAGAACGGGTCTTATCGTCGATAATAAATGGACTACCAAACAAATGAGAGGAGATCAAGAAGCAGACCAGGACATCGGACAAATGCTACATCTTGAGGAAAATGATGAATGTAGGCCAGACTGGAGGGAAGTGTCGAACAAGAGCTTGATTTACAAGGCGTTGTGGGCTCAGTGGGACTCTTTGGCCGTAGAAAATAGTTTACTTTGGGAAAGTGTCGATGGGAAAGCCACTAAGAGCCAACTGCTAATTCCAAAAGTTCGAGTAGAAGATGTATTAAAAGAAATACATGGCGGAACTTCAGGGGCACATTTCAGAGTTAACAAGACTTTGGACAAAATTCGGGAACGTTTTTACTGGGTCCCTATCATGAAAATGTTAAAAACTGGTGCCGAAAATGTGACATCTGTGCTACCAGTAAAGGCCCTCAACTACGAATCAAACCGGTATTTAATGCAACAGCCATTCCATGTGCCACTGGGAAGAGTCTATGTGAACTGCTTTTCTGATATAGACCAAGAACATTGGATGATTCATTTTTCAGTATAGTTGTCACAGGTTGAGGACGCTGTTGAAAATGATTTCACACAATTTAAACAGAAAGCTGCTTTTAAAATTCAGATCGCTCAAGACAGGCAAAAAACATACTTTGGTGCTAAAAGAAAGAAATGTCGAAGGGGGACCTTAGACAGTAGTAGGAGAGAAAAAGAGATGACAAACACGGGAGTAACAATGTAACAAAGATACAGAGTTGATGCGTAATCACGGGAGAACGGTACTGCGCTAGTACGGGTGTGTATAATAAAGATAGAAAATGTATACATGCAAGGGAAAGAAACACACAACGTGTTTCTCGGCTACCGTATAGGAGAAATGAGGATAGCTAATCGATGCGTATACAACGTTATTCAAGTAGTACCTATATGTAAGAAGAACTTGGGTAGGGTATGTGATCTTGTGATAAGGTGATCTTGTTTATCGTTATGAAAAGATGGAGTAGGTAATAATAGTCTTGCGTTAACAAGGACAGCTGGTCCATGCAATTATAATATATTTTGGTACCTAATAATTATTTCTGAGTGAAAATATTCTTTTATTTTCCTTCAATCCAATTATACTTAGGTATTTCGTATTTTAATTTTATAGCCTTTACAAAAATTACCTTTTTCCCGATCCATGTGGCCCAACAATCAACAAATGTTCTTGATTCTGCTCGGCTAAAAATGCTTTCAAAATATCCAAATATTTTAAAATTTGCCCAGTTTTTATAAGGGGAATTCCATAATCAATATTATCTACGGAAATTTTGGGATCTGTATGATAAGTTTCAATAGTCTCCCTGTCTTGGTCGTAATATAGTTTCAGTGGAAAAGTTGGAGGAGTCTCATCGGTCCAATCAAACACCTTTAAATTACATTGAATTATAAAACTAATGACCTAAGTTAAACTTAATCACTTTTTCCGCAAACATTTGCCTGAATTCCAATTTGAGCTGTTGCCCAAGTCCATTAATCAACCCAACGATAAATTGATATTTATTTTTGACATCCAACAGCTGCACAAAGCTTGATTTAGCTATTGAAATTATTGATCTGTTTAGAGTAAACTCAGCTTCACTCATTGACCAGTTAATAGCTGAAAATTTGAAAAAAAAAATTGGAACAGTTTCATAAGTGCAAAAATTACCTTTAACAAAAAATTCGCCCAATAAAACTTCAAGATATCCTCGTTTATCTTCACTCAACCTATCCAAAGTGGTTTTAAGAAACTCCTCAAAATTAACATCTTCATGGCTCAAATACACAATTCCCATACGAGAAATGGTAGCAGGAGAGGCGTTTTTCAAATCGTGCGTCTCAAATATAAAGTTCACGTTCGGTCCAAAGTGTATTCGCCAACCAGATGGCAACGTGATAATTCTATTGTCATCCAGGACAGAATTTAGAGATTCTACCCATTCTGGATCGATGTCACCGTCGCATATTATCCAAGACCATACATCTGTTAAAAAATGTTTTGTAAAAATGATCTTAACTTTGATTAAAATCTTTTCCAAAATTACTCAATGCCTTACCATCAGGTTCAGAAGACACCTGTAAACTATAACTAGTCAACACTCCATCGTTCCATTGATTAAGATGATCCATGTAACCCAAAAGCAGTTGTCGTGGCATACCTTTAGGATTGACCGGGTGGATTTTAATTTTTTGTTGCAACTTAGTTATGGCTTTCGTGACAATTTTAATTATGGTCGACTTTCCAGAACTTGGAGGGCCAATTATAGCAACTCCCATGCGTTGTTTGAGTTGTTTGTAGAATTCCAAGCATTTGTTTATTTGACGATCGTTTGGTATGAGGCTCAGGTCTTTGTAAGTTTCAAGTATTGCTTCTTTCAAAGAATCAATGTCCGAATTTTCAATGGTTAAAACATTTCGGAAAATGTTTGCAATAATTTGATTGAATTTTTGTGTATCAGAAAAGGTTAATTTTGATGTTATGTCCATTTTAAGCGTGCTCACTACTAAGCCTAATTCTTCTGCTTTGGTCAAGTTTTTATTTGTAATATCGTAGTTTTTTATGGCAATTTGGCAGCCAGATAATACCGTTTTAATTGCTCTCAAGCCCCAGTCGTAATGTTGCTGTTTGCTCAATAATTTGCTAAAATATAATAGTTAATTACAGATAACCAATAATTATTGATTCTTACCGTGACATTTCAAAAACCTCGACAATTTTCTTCGCTATGCTATCGGCAAAACGATATCCGTCACAATGCAAAGAAGTCCTGGCGATTTCTTCATGATCAGGATGCGTCATAACAACCGGCCTAAACAACTGTTTGAGGTTGTCTGGTAGTTTATTCCTCCCTCCATATCCAGCGCCAGCAGGGTTTAGGGTCACGAATATTCCGCAATGTTTGTCGATGGGAACCTGCAAATCACAGCAATAAGTGATAGGTATTTATTTGAAACCAAAGGAAAAACGCTATGGAGATGCTCAGACATCGAGACACCCGCAAGCTGATAGATGTCCTTGAAAGACTGCTTCCTCGACATATGAGAAATAAGCAACCGTTATCGGTGCAATGAAAGGGACACCTGAACAAGTCCCGACTACTTGTTCTAACTAGTGGGGAAGAAATTATTGCAAGCATTTACCAATTACCAATAAAAGATTAGCCTGCTATCGTCGGCTCTTCAAACACACGAACCCGAAAAGAAAACACCTTTTTTGGTTCTAGATACTAGACACATCAACACCAATTCGAAATCAAACTTCTTTCTCGATTTATTCTGTACAGTAGCGCCATAGAGTAGCGCATATAACGGATTGGGCAGTGGTTCCTCTACAAAAGATTCAAATTCCCTAAGATTTGGAAATCGGACTTAAAGATCCAGCTTCTATTAGTTTCCAATGGAAGTAGTGTTTTCAGGAAGTTCGCACCTACCTGAATGAAAGCGTATTGATCAAGTCCCTTGAAAAAAATGATATAGCCCATTATCATTTGAGAATATGTGTAGGCTTTTTGTACCCACGTGGGGCCTTAATGCCGCTTCTGTTCCTAGCTTTGCATTAAAATCTCCCTTTTTCAACCTCTTGATAAGAAGAAACGTCACTCAGGTTTTGGTCAATTTTCAAGGGACTTCGTTCAAGACATCTTCTGAAAATGCTCGTCACGACTTATGGGACTAGCAGCAACCAACCAACGAACCAACCAACTACCTTCTTATGTTCTGCAATGTATGAACTTGAAGCTGAAGCCTCTAATGACGGTATAACCAAAAACCAAATTGATCACATCGTAATTGATGCAAGGCATGGAAGCAACGATCTGAATGTGAGAAGGCGTCGAAGGGCAGACGCGAATTCGGACCATTTTCTTGTTAGAGTAAAGCTGAAAATCAGAATATTAAGCTCAAAAAATGTAGAATCCAAACAAGATCAACAGTGGGATACAGCAAAATTGGGAACGAAGAAATCAGAAGGCATTTCCCAGGTGAAAATAGAGCACCAAAACCAAGAAATTACGAACATAGATGACATCGACACGAAGCAATTTTAGATGCAACATCAAGAGTGACTGGAGTAAAGCCAAGAAACGAAAATCGAAACCATCGGTACGATCTGGAATGTGAATGGATACTTAAGGGGAGAAATAATGTACGACTAGAGTAATGATGCAGGATCCTACTGAAGACAATAACAGTAAATTCAGATAATTAAGTAGAGAGGCTAATAAACTACTAAGAAGGAAAAAAAGGGAACAACAAGATCAGGGGCTGCAGGAGCTGGGAGTCGATGGAAGAAACAATAGCAGGAAATTCTATAAGACAATCTTCTTCAAGTGCCTATCGGCTCTGGATGTTGGCTATCAACGTAGCTATTCTTACTTTGTTGATGGCGATTCGGAAAAGTTCTACTGTTGATTTGTCAAACCACGTTCTAAGATTTGCTAGCCAAGATATTCTCCTTCGGCCAGGTACTCTCCTGCTATCAATTTTGCCTTTTAGGATTTCCTGGGTTTTGGGTTCCTCATTATGTGGCCGAAATACTGAAGTTTCTGACAGTTTATGGTATCTAACAGTTCCGGTTCTTTATTCATCCGACGCATTACTTCTATGTTGTTAATTTTTTGTGTCCAAGATATTTTCAGTATTCTCCTGTACAGCCAGAGTTCGAACGCTTCAATTCCCCTGATAGTCTCTTTAGTGAGTGTCCAAGCTTCTACGTCATACAGAAGGATCGAGAAAACGTAACAACGCAAGAGTCTAAGCTTCATGTCTAAGGATAGATTATGGCTTTTGAAAAGCGAGCTCATTTTAATCAATACAGAGCAGGTCTTTTCGATGCGACAGCGTATTTCTTGAGAGTTGTCCCATCTATCGGTAATGATTGTCCCCAAGTATGTGTACTGCCTTAATCTTTGTATTCTACTGTGATTGATGCATAAACTGTCATTCGCGATGTTTCTTTGACTTACTATGAGGATTTTGGTTTTGTTAATGTTCATTTCCAACCCGTACTCTGAGCTAATTCTGGTCACCCTATCCATCAAACTTTGTAATCCTTGAAGACTATAATATGCAAACATGATGGTGTCATCTGCATATCTTATATTATTAAGTTTAGTACCGTTTATAGTGATCCTTTCCTCAATGTTGACAAGAGCTTCTCGAAAGATGTATTCTGAGTACACGTTAAATAAGATGGGCGACAAAATACAGCCTTGCCTCGCTCCTCGTAGTATATTTATTTGTTCTGCGTGACTGCCATCAATTCTCAAAACTGCCATCTGGCTCCAATATAGGTTTATAGTTATGTTTAAATCTTTTTGATTCATTCCTATTTGCTTCAGTATGTCGACCATTTTATCATGTTGGACTAGGTCAAATGCTTTTTGATAACCGATTAAGCAAGCATATACATCACAGCTGACATCCCTACATCTCTGAAATAACACCTGAATAGCAAATAGCCTCTCTTGTACCGACGGCGTTGACAAACTCAAACTGGTTTGGTGAAATCTGTTCTTTACAAAGTCTATAGTCTATAGGTATATTCTTTTGTGTATTATCTTGAGAAACAGAGATGACTCATCAAAGTTATTGTTCTAAAACCACCGCAGGTTTTGGCACTTGCTTTTTTCGGCACAGTGTGATAAATTCTGACCTCAACCAATCCACTGGAATTTCTCCTGTTAAGTAGATGTTGTTGAATATTCTGGTCAGCCATTTGATTTTAGCTTCGTTCAGTAACTTTAGGAATTCAGTCTATACTTGGTCCAGACCAGCTGCTTTCCGTGGCTTCATTTCCGAAATGGCGGCTACAAGACAATAAGAACAAGAAAGAAAGGCGCTGGTACAAAATAAGAGCGCAGGTCGAAAGAACGCAGGTCTAAAGAGCACAGGTCAAAATAGCGCGGACTGAAGAGCGCAGGTCAAAAGAGTGTACAGACAAAAAACCGCAGCGTACGGACAAATGAGCACACAGACAAACGAGCGCACGGACAAAAAAGCGCACGGACAAAAGAGCGCTCCGCAAAAGTGTGCATATTTTATAAAATACAAGACACACACGCAATGAAACACGTAAAACGAAACTATTTTTCAAATGACTGTCTATATCGGGTTACTTAATAACAAGAACTTCGAATGGAAATGAAAATAACCAAAATTGAATCAATATTAATTAAGGAATTGCAGACTCACCCAAACTTACCGATATTAACCCGCCTAGTGCAATTTAGTCCTAAATTAGAATTTTCTTTGGAAAACAAAACGCGCTCAAGGGGCATTATACACTATAACTAGATTAACTTTATTTTCTAAAAATTAAATGGTAACTTATAAGAAGATCGCACTAGGTGGACGGGTTATTATAAGTCTGAGTAAGTCTGTATTTTCTTTACTTTATATCTAATTTTAATGGAACAAACAATGCGCTCTTTTGAACCTGCGCTTTTTTGTCCGTGCGCTCTTTTGACCCAGTGCTCTTTTAATGCCCGTACGCTTTTTTGACCCGACGCTCTTTTCTCCCTGCGATATTTTGTCCGTGAGCATTTTTGTCCGTGCGCTCTTTTGACTTGCACTGTTTTGATCTGCGCTCTTTTGTCCGCGCTCTTTTGACCTGCGCTCTTTACTACCAGCGCCCCCTTCTAAACCTTTCACTAGAGTCCTTTTTTATTAGGTTATGGGCGCCGGACCTAAATTTGCGCGATCGTGGGTCGAAAATCGAAAGTTTTAGCGCAGTATCATATTGACGGCTCCGAGACAGACAGTTTCCTTGTGGCAGAAGCCAAAGCCAAATTCGTGTTGACATTTGACCCCTCCTTATATGTGCCTGTAAAGTCTATGAGCGCAACCACTTGCAAGAAAGCCTGGGAAAAGATCAAGAATCTTCACGAGGACGTAGGAGTCACCAGAAAAATTGGGCTATTGCGAATTTTGATTTCGTTGAGGTTGGCAAATTGTGAAAATATGGAGTCGTAGGTACGTAAACCAGGTTATTGAAACATCGCAGAAGTTTAGGAAAACCAATTTTGATATAAGTGAAGAATGGGAAGGTTGCCTTCTTTTAGCTGGTTGACTAGAAAATTACGCTCCCATGTTGATGACGATCGAGCACGCAGGGATCACTATCACGACCGACTCCATCAAGAGCAAACTGCTTGATATGCAGTTTAATGGATCTGGTTTCAGCAAAATAGGTGATTTGAGGCAAATTTTGATGCTGGTAGCTTTAAGAACAGAACAGATTGCCAGAGAGAATGTCAATGCCAGAGACAAGCGGGATAAAAGTAGAGTTATCATCATGATCATCATCATCAAAGTAGAGCTATATGTTACCAATGTAAATAAACAGCATTCAGTGGCGTAACTTCAGATTTTGGACCTGGGGGCAGAGTGATTTGGCGAGGCCCTATTACAATATTGCAGTAGTGTATGCAATATTCTGTTTGTCTAAGGGCCAAATTATGGACCTACTGGCCGACCAATGGGATTACAGATTGCGTTTCTATCCGTTAGATTGCATACCTGACAGTTTATCAGAAGGTGAATAAACCGGCCCTAACTTATAAGAACCCGGAAATATTTTTTTTGCGGAAACCGCCTACCATCTTCCACGCTAACAGCTAACACTACCAATCGCGATTTTACTTGTTGCGGAATACCTATATTTTCCAATGGATGCCTAAATAGATAGGTAAGTCAGCAAAATTTCTGAGAATCATACAATACCGACATCTTCATTGTATCATTATTTAGAGTAGCCTCAACTGGTCTTCCAAATGCTTCGTGAAAGACAGTTCAGGCTACTCTAAATAATGATACAATGGAGATGTCGGTATCAAAAGGCAGCCCACAGGGTGAGGTCTTATCCTTCCTACTGTGGGACTTGGTCGTAGACGAACTTCTAGTAGACCTTAATAA